GGGAATAAAAATAACGGGAAGCATTTGCTCATCGCTTCCTCTGTCCAGGTGCGGATCGAAGCCTTTCCTAGGCATCTGCTTTGCTGATTCTGACCACCCTTCCAAGGAGCCTGCTGTTGGCCCGGCTGCAGGTGGAGGGACGGGGGCCCAGGGAGGCGGGGTCTTGGGCCCATGGCCTGGGGCTCAGTCTGGGCCTGGGGGCTGTGTCATTGCTGCATGACCAGTCCCCAAAGGGACACGCGCCCGAGAGACAGAGGCAGCAGTCCATGCACGGCTTGGCTCCGACCGTGACTGCGTTTCACATCCAAGGCTGGGTGGGTTTGCCAACGGCAGGCAGATCAGCTTCCTTGTGGATTCATGTACAAACATGCGACTGTTTGTGAAGGTTCTTCGGGGGCATACGTTTCATTCTCCCAGCCCTTTGACCCCCATCCCTGCCTCTCCTCACTAGCCCTTGCACCTGTCCCTATCAATCATTTTTTGACTGTTTTCCTTTTATTAAAAACATTTGTTTATTTGGCCGTGCCAGGTCTTAGCCGTGGCATGCGGGGTCTTTAGTTGCTGCATGTGAACTAAGTCCTTAGTTGGGGCACGTGGGATCTAGTCCCACCAGGGATGGACCCTGGGCCCCTGCAGTGGGAGTGCAGAGTCTTAGCCACTGGACTGCCAGGGAAGCCCCCTAACCCTGTCGTTGGTGATGCCTCCTCTACCACCTGGGGCTTCCCTGTGGTTCAAACAGTAAAGAATTGGCCTGCAATGCGGGAGACCCAGGTTTGTCCTTGTATCAGGAAGATCCCCTGGAGAAGGGCGTGACAACACACTCCAGTATTCTTGTCTGGAGAATTCCATTGACAGAGGAACCTGGTGGGCTACAGGCCTTGGGGTCACAAAGAGTCGGACACAACTGAGCAACTAACACTTTCGTGTTCCTCTACCTCCTAGCATCCCATCTGGGTGGTATGAAATGACTTTCAGTGAAAAGGTGGAATTCCTGAGGGCAAGTTCCAGCACAAAAATTCAAGTCCGGCAGCGGCTCCTGGTGGTTGCCCGGTACTCCAAGGACTTGCTGACTTTTTTTTGCTGCCAGGATGGGAAGAGATGCAGGCGAGAAGCCATCCGTTATGCAGGCTGATCAGGCTTCAGGGAGGGGGCCAAGAACGCATGGAGCATAGCAATGGACAGAGTTAATTGTAATTAATGACTAAGAAGCCCTTTAAGAACTCAACATTAATTCAAAAAGACATGTATAAGGGTACAAAACAGGTCCAACTGCCTTTAAATGCTTCACATTTAATACATGTTTATCAGAAGTACACTTTTTTTCCAGACATGCTTTTGGAAGAATACGTGAAAAAATGTTCTTAAAATACCTCAAAGTACAATCCCCTTTGCCACCAAAGGGAGGAAGAAAGGATAGGACTTGTCGACGCATACGAATGTGTTATAAAGGATGCTGAAGTTTAAGTCAGCTGGGAATTGGGCCAGAGATCATCAGGAAAGTTGCTTTAAGCTTGCTGATTCGAAGAAAAGTGGTAGGATTCCATTCTAGGCATTCTGGGCATCTTTCAAAAAGGAAAGAGAAAACCTGAAGTGTGGAAGAAAGTAGGGTATGGGGACTCTCAAGGGCATTTCCAGCGAGAATTGTTTGAAAAATCTAGGATGTGAAAGAAAGGAAGGTGGGCCTCTGTCCCTGTAGGCATGGTGAACTAAAGGTGGCAGCAAGGTCTGTGCTGGCCCCCCCTTTAGAGGCCTGACCTCTGCCCCAGCCCTTGAATCTGGCCAGGCTCGGGGACACGCAACAGCGAAGCCTGGCAGAAGTGGCCTGCCCAGTCCTGAAGAAGCTGTTCTCAGACGCTCAGCTGTGTCTGACTCTGTGTGACCCTGTGGACTGTAGCCTGCTGTCCGTGGGATTCTTCCAGCAAGAATGCTAGAGTGGGTGTCATGCCCTCCTTCAGGGATTCGACCTGCATCTCTTGAGTCTCCTGCTTTGACAGGCAGGTTCTTTACCACTAGGGCGCCTTCAGAGGCTGACCGCTCTCATTTCCTGCTCCTGAAATCCCGGCCTTTGGCCCTGGGCCACCATGCTGTGAGGAAGCCCAGCCGCGCACGAAAGCCCCCGATGGGCAGTTCTGCAGCCCGGCCCCAGCCCCTCGGTAGCCCAGCCTGCCAGCCTCATGCAGGAGCTGCCTGGGGAGTGGGTTCTCCAGCTTCTATCAGTCTGCTCTGAGTGACCACACCCAACAGAGACAAGGCGTCACACTGAAAGTGAAAGTCGCTCAGTCGTGTCTGAGTCTTTCCAACCCCATGGACTGTACGGTCCATGGAATTCTCCAGGCCAGAATACTGGAGTAGGGAGCCTTTCCCTTCTCCAGGGGCTCTTCCCAACCCAGGAATCGAACCGGGGTCTCCTGCAGTGCAGGCAGATTCTTTACCAACTGAGCTATCAGGGAAGTCCAAATCATGGACTTATAAGCAAATAGTCTGTTGATGGTTCAAACCACTAAGTTTTTTCTTTTTTTTGCAGGCTAGTTATAAAGCAGAGGATAAAATAAATCAGAGAAACAGTGAAATGAACCTTATGAGAAACTCCTCTTCTGTCCAAACAGAGGTAAATGTGTTAAAATATACATAACTATTTATTTATTTAACAAAGTGCTTAAAAAAAAAGCATCTAGTTAGTTTTAATAGCAGCACTGTAGAATATCCCGGATTTAGGTAATAAGAGAGAAAGCATAGCCTAGCAGTGAGGGGTGTTGGAGCATTAGACCCAGACAGATACCTAGGGTTTAATGCCTACTTTGTGTCTTCCCTGGTGGCTTAGACGGTAAAGAATCTGCCTGCAGTGCAAGAGACCAGGGTTCAATCCCTGGGTCAGGAAGATCCCCTGGAGAAGGAAATGGCAACCCACTTCAGTATTCTTGCCTGGAAAATTCCATGGACAGAGGAGCCTGGGGTCCCAAAGAGTCAGACATGACTGAGCAGCTAACAGTTTCATTTTTACTTTTTGGATCTTGAGTGGACATTAGAGGACTTAGAATTTAAAGAAAATCTAGACCTGGGCTTTCTGCAAGAAATTCGGAACAAGAACAACCTCTGATTTACAACAGGAAGCAGTGTATCTCTGCCCTTTGGTCTGGAGAAGCAGATCAGGAACAAGCTGCCTAGGCATCGGAGGCTTGTCCTAAGGAGGCAGAGTCCGGGGCCCAGCTGCTCGGAGTCCAAATCCATGCGGGACTGCAGTGCAGAAACCCTGCAGTGAGGACTTGGAGTCCACCCCGTCTGGAACCAGTGAGCTCACGGAGCGCCTCTGAAACACTGTCTCGTAGAAGAATCTTCCTGTTCTCAGGACCCAGCAGAACTGTCAGAGGAAAACCCTACTGAGAGATGAGCTGACGATGCACAAAGTGCAGAGAGCATCCGTTATGATGGGGGAGAGTCAGCAGAAGACCTGCCGGAGAAGTCACACCCGAGGAACTAGAAACGATAGAGTGTCCCAACAGGGCTTTGAACAATTAAACATGGCCGGAGGGACAGAGAGGGAAATTCATAATGTGGCAAGAAGGCATTATTATGAGCAAGAAAGAGAGAGTACTATGCTTAGTCGTTCAACTGTGTCTGACTCTGCAACCCCACGAACTATAGCCCGTCAGGCTCCTCTGTCCCTGGAATTCTCCAGACAAGAACACTGGAGTGGGTTGCCATTCCTTTCTCCAGGAGATGCTCGAACAGGTGGATTCTTTACCATCTGAACCACCAAAGAAGCCCATTGTCAAAAATAAAAGCAAATTAAACCAGAGGGTTGGAAGATCCAGCCAAAGAATAATTTAAAAATCTCTCAATAGATATTTCTTAGGAAAGGCTTCACACCTCCCTGGAGAGAAACAGAGCCCGGGTAGGCACACGCACGCCCAGCAGACCCCAAATGCAGCTCAGAGAGGGAAACGGGGACGCGTGGGACCCCTGCAGCCACATTCCCCGTGGTGCCTGCTCCTGCCCTTTCACAGGCTTTCGGGGCCAAGTTTCTTTGTGTGTGCTAAGCTGCTTGAGTCGTATTCGAGTCTTTGCGACCCCGTGGACCGGAGCCCACTGGGGTCCTCTGTCCATGGGATTCCATGGAATCCCTGCTGATGTCTGGCTTTGTGTCCTTTGTCTTTTGGCCTCTCTTGTTTGAGTTTGGTTCTGTTTTATAAAACAGTTTTCGTTGTTAGGATTTACTCTGTGTCTCCGTTTGGAATAGGCAGAGGGCCATTAGCTCGATCCATCAGTTTTGGGCCTTGGGTTCTTAGTAGAAATATTCTGGCGCTGCCCTGTCTAACACAGCAGCCTATGTACATTTGTCTTAAGATAAGAGCCGATGTACATTTGAATGTAAATGAATTAATGTGGAATAGAATAAAAAGTTCAGTTCCTCAGCTCCCCTGGGGCTTCCCTGGTAGCTCAGCTGGTAAAATGCAGGAGACACTGGTTCAATTTCCCGGTCAGGAAGGTCTGCTGGAGGAGGGATAGACAACCCACTCCAGGATTCTTAGGCTTCCCTGGTGGTTCAGCTGGTAAAGAGTCCACCTGCAGTGCAGGAGACCTAGGTTCGATCCCTGGGCTGGGGAGATACCCTGGAGATGGGAACGGCTGCCCACTCCAGTATTCTTGGCTGGAGAATTCCATGGACAGAGGAGCCTGGTGGGCTACAGTCCATGGGCTCACAAAGAGTTGGACAGGACTGACTGACTTTCACACTCAGCTCCCCTAGTGAAAGAAAGTGAAATCACAGTTATTCAGTCATACTGGACTCTTTGTGACCCTATGGACTGTAGCCCGCCAGGCTCCTCTGTCCGTAAGATCGTCAGGCAAGAATATTGGAGTGGGTTTGTCATTTCCTTCTCCAGGGAATCTTCTTGACTCAGGGATCTGACCCGTGTCTCCCGCATTGCAGGCAGATTCTTTAACGTCTGAGCCGTGGAGGAAATCCTCCGCGAGGGATGGGGACGGAGCAGGGGACACACAGCTGTCTGGTCCTCCCTCCCGAGGAGCGGGGTGGTCAGGGAGCTGTCCCAGATGTTGCCGGGTGACGTGGCTGACATCAGACGAAACCGCAGCGCCAGGCTGCAGCAGCAAGGACGCATCTGTGCGCACGCGGACCAGGGCAGGAGCTGCGTTCTGGAATGAAGCAGCAGCAGGGAACGAGCGGCTTCTGGCCACCGCAATGAGGGAGCAGCTGAGCAAACTGTTTACAAGGAGCGGAAACAGTCTGCTGGAGAAGTTTGCTGTCACATGACGAAGGAGATGGAACGTCTTCAAGGATCGTCCCACAGCCAATATCGGAGAGGAGCTGGACATGCCTCTCCGTGGCGGGTGGTCCAGCAAGGTTTGAACACAGGGTGTCCTCCATGAAGGAGGCTGGACTTGCAGACCTCGGGTGGCAGGGAAGCACGGAAAATCAGACAGCGGGGCAAGCACAAGCCAGCTGATCAGTTTCTCATGACGAACCACCCACGTTCCTGGTGAATTCCAGGGTGATGTTCAAGCGTCCCTTCCATTCAAAGGTGACAGAGCATTAGCTATACAGGAGGACTGGGGGTGACCCTGGGGATGCAAGAGGCACAGAGGACTGTGGGCAGTGCCAAGGGGCTGCCTGAATAAGGCTAGGCCTCTCACAGCTCAGTTGGTAAAGGACCTGCCTGCCCTGCAGGAGATCTGGGTTCGATTCCTGGGTCAGGAAGATCCCTGGAGAAGGAAATGGCAACCCACTCCAGTGCACTTGCCTGGAGAATCCCGCGGACATAGGAGCCTGGCAGACTATAGTCCATGGGGTCATAAGAGTTGAAAAAGACTTAGCAACTAAACTATCACCACCAACCCAGATTTGGGTCTCCCACTCACTTGTCCCTTGTGATGAGCTTGGGGATTTCAGAGATATCCAGAGCCTCACGCCTGCCCTCATGGGGTTGGCTGTCTAGTTGAGGAATAAGAAACGAAGAGCACAGTTAAAACCCATTTTGGAAAAATGGCTACAGTTGGGCTATTACATGAATTCGGTGAAGACAGGAGGAAGCCTTTTCAGAAGAAGTAGCATCTGAGTTGGGGCAGGGAGGGTGTGTTCCTTTCCGGGAGCTGTGATAACAAAGACCACAAACCATGTGCTTACAAAGCTTTCTCTCACAGTCCTGGAGATTAGAAATCAGAAGCCAAATGTCAGCGGGGCTGCTCTCCCTGAAACCTGTAGGGGAGACCCCTGCCCTGCTTCGCCCTGCTTCTGGTGTTTGTAGCTTCCTCAGCTTCCGGGAGATCCATCCAGTCTACACCCATCGCAGGAGCGTCCCCCAGTCTCTGCCTCCATCAGGGACCGTCTCTCCAGGGTGTCTATTGAGAAACCAACCCTTAGTCTCATTGTGGGTCCTACACAGGTAGTATTTGTTTTCTTTCTTATCTCTTTAAATAGCTTTTCTTTGTTTGATATTCTCCTTGCTTTTTTCATAATTTACTATGATGTATTTGAGTGTGGATTTGTTTTATAAAGCTTTATTATTGTGTTTTGTTAAACCGCCTGAACCTGAGGACAGGGGCCTTTGTTCTATTTCTGCAAATTGTTACACAACATCTAATAAGCACTGTCTCTGCCCCATCCTCTGTCTGCCACAGCTTTTAGAATTCTGATTATGTACCCTGTCCACTGTCTGCCTCTTAACCCGTCTTTGCATCTGTCTCGTCAGTTGTGCTTGTGCTACATCCCGCCTTCCAGTTCAATAGCCGTTTCCTCAGCTGTGCATAATCCGCTATAACCTGCCCATTGCATTTTTTTTATTCCAATTATTGTATCTTTTATTTTCTGAATTTCTGGAACTTCTGCCTATTTTTCAAATCTGCACAATTCTATCTTATAGGCTTTTTTACTTTATGCATTTTAAAAATGTTATTTCTTGAAGCGTATTTCACACCCTTTTTTATTCCAGGTTAGACAAATGCTGCCTGGGGTTTCTGCTCACTCTTGAGCGTGTGACCTGCTTCTTTATTTCGTGATTTTTGACTAAGGCTCATTTTTCTCATGATTTCATGTGTGAGAATTCCGTGAAGCCTGTGCTGAAGGTGCACTCTGCTGAAGGGAATTTGTATTTGATTCTGTTAGGGATTTTGGGTTGCTACCAGCTCAGGGTAGGACAACTTTAAAATAATTTCTCACTTGAAGTTTTTTTTTTCTAACACAGTTGGTATGAGTCGAGGCTGTAAATCCTCATAGGAACTTGCTTGGAGTTTCAAGGTTGGAAGGGAGGTTTTAAGTTTCCATCCACTCAGCACCAAATTTGAGCCAACTCGTTGTCTTTTCCCGAGGTCTTTCCATGTCACCGTTATGTGGAGGGGCAGCCCTTGGAGGTCCAGCTCCCTGTGGTGCTCTCGTATGAGACATCCCTCCGTGGGTTGGCCCAGCCTTGTCCCCAGTACCGCAGTGCAGTCGTCAGAGCAGCAGGGCGTGACCTTCAGGACTTCGTGGACGTCACTGGGCTCACGACTGGTTCCTGGGCTCTGCCCCCTCTCTGCAACCCCAATTTCAATGTTGCTTGGTTTCCGAGGATTTCTTCTTTCTTGCCTCTCATCAAGATATTTCAGAAGAGATTTTTAGAACAACACTTTATTCTGTGTGTTTAGTTGTCATCAGAAGGATTATTCATTTTATACATTTTATATATTCTGGCTGGAGACCCAGCAGGAATCCAGTGTATTATCTCACGTCCAAAGGCCCCCTGCAGGCAGAACTCCCTGTTAGTTGGAGGAGGACCGCTTTTGTTCTTCACCTGATTGGAGGAGGCCCACTCACATTATGGAGTGTAATCTGCTTCACTCAAATTTAAATATTAATTTAAATTTAATTATTAATCTCATTCAAAAAGATGCCATCACAGCTGCACCCAGGCTAGTATTGGACGGAACATTTGACCCAGCCAAGCTGACACACACAACTAACCACCAGATTCAGGAAGCCGGGAGAGGCTGGCCGGGAATGGGGGTGCTTTCTGTGCGCAGGTGGTACTGGAGCCTGCGTGCTGGTCCAGCTTCAATCCCTGTCCAGCAGGTGTACATTGCCTATCTCATGGACCCCTGCGTTCTTGATTTGCCCTCTCTATAGACCAAGGGCACCTGCAGGGCACCTGCAGGGCACAGCCCCTCCACCAGAGGACCGTCCAGGGGCTTGCTCCAGGTCTGAGTTTGTACATTTCCTGTGTGTTCAGCTCTTCTTAGGATAGGCTATCTGAGCTCCCAGCCATTAGGTGAGCCCCCTTCCTGCTCTCCCTGTCCTGTTACCGGTCAGTAAGCACACACATGCTGAACACAGTTAGTGCCAGGCCCCAAGGGAGGGGTCTGGTCGGGACAGCACCCGTGCTGGAGAGGATGAGGCAAGAGCTCAGGTCTCCCTGCTGGGAGGCGTTGAGGCCCCCGCCTGCCCCGGACGCCCCGGCTTCTCCCTCTCTCTGCCTCTGTGCGCTGCCAGCCTTGTGATACAGGAGCCATGGTCCTGGGCCTAGAGGCTGCTCCGGAGGGAGGAACAATTTCTCCTCCTTTTATCCACTTGTGTCCCTTCCCAGCAGGGGGAGAGAGGTGGGAGGGAGTGTGTGGATTCCTGAGTGGCTTACAGGGGCGGCTGCTTGGTGCTCAGAGCCACTCCAGGCCTGTCCCGCTTTTGTGAAGTGCTCCAGCCAGGCGGCCCAGGCTTTGCACCACCTGCGACCCTATCCAGTCTGCCCTCCAGCCTGCTCCTCCGTCTACTGGTTTAGGTCCCAGACATACTGTGCCTTCCTGCTTCTCCCAGTCTTTCTCAGACTCTTCCCTCGATCTGGAATTCTCTTCTTTCTGGCCCATGATGATCCTGTTCATTCTTGGAGCCTGAATCCAGTCTCCTCCAGGAAGCCTTCCGTGAATGCCCAGGCTGGACTGTTTTCCTCTGAGCCCCAGTGACACCTGGCCCCTCCTCAGTAGCATCTGGATGTGCTGCACTTTGACTGTGTCCTCACCTCTGAGCTCTGGAGGTGGGGGGCTGCGCAGGTCCCAGGTTCCCATCCCAGGGCCTGACATGTCACAGGCGCTCCACTGCTGATGGAGAGAGGGGACGGCCACCCCACCCCACACAGGAGGACAGGAGTCCCACCCTCTCCCTCTGAGGAGCCGCTCCCACAGCTGAAAACAGCCCGGAGCCCAAGGAGCATGGTGAGCATGCAGTGTTGCCAGGCAGGTTGTTGGATGCCAGGGCTGGGGCCCCTGGGAAGATATTTATCCGTTTCATAACTGCAGAGATGGAATTCTGTTTCTCGCTTACATTTATGAGTAAGATATCCTCTTAGGTTGTTCAAAAAAGCACGTTTTAGACCATTAAGATGTTTTTATTTTGCCTTTTATTGGAGTTTAAATAGCAAGGTGAGTGTGGAGCAGAGTGCAGGGTGGTTAGGAAGCAGTAAAAGGCATTTAGGGTGCCCACGGGGCAGGCAGTGAGATGGAGGGCCGCGAGCAGGAAAGGGTTGCCGACATTCGCTCCAAGCACAGCATTTATCTAACCTTCCTTTTAATGGAGGGGCTTGTGAAAACGAGGGGGTCAAGGGAAGGAACCTGCACACTAGCCGCGGTGGCTCTCCAGGGTTAGGGCTGTAGGCAGAGTGGTACCCGGCCGTGGAGGCCCCGTTTCTCCAGTAAGGCGCTGTCCTACATGAAGGGGTGTCAGCTGGGAAATGGGCCCTGGCTGGGTGTCAGAAATCTGGGGTGCTCACCCCAGCTTTCCAGCTGCTGCCTGGGCGACTTGGGGGTAAATCCATCCACTTCTCAATGTGATGGGAATAACAGCTGTCTCAGGTGTGTTATGACAGCTTAATGGGATAATCACTGTAAAGTTACCTTGACAGTCAAAACTTTATACATGTGTCAGCTATTACTTGAAATTCCATTTTATCACTTTCCTTGTCAACACTAACGCTTATTCAGTAGGATTAAGAAGAAAGAATCAGGATGAATAAACAACAAAGTCCTACTGTATATCACAGGGACTTATATCCAATGCCCTGTGATAAACCATAGTGGGCTTCCCCGGTGGCTCAGTGGTTAAAAGAGTCTGTCTGCAATGCTGGAGCCACAGGAGATGCGGGTTCAATCCTTGGGTCTGCAAGACTCCTCTGGAGAAG